AGTCTCGAAAACTATTGACTTCGAGGATAAGTAATGTCGTCGATCGCGATGACAAACATACGTCATCCTAATCGACTATGCAACTATTCATGGCAGTTGGATGGAGTATGGAATATCAAACTCTGCCCTAAAAACTTCTGGCTACCGTGGCTGTGTTCTGGAGTGATGATCTCGCCATGATCCTCACGAATCGTGGTGGATGAAACGGAAAGGACAGATCGAAATCGTGTTCAAGTCGAGTTGAGTCAAGTCAAGTCAAGCTGAGCAGAGATGAGATGATATATTCTCGAGAGGCATGACAAGTTGAAGCTCGATTGCATTTCGATGAGATCGCAACTATTCGTCCTTAATCAAAGTGATCCGACAAGATTTTCGCAACTTGGTCCTGTCGCCAGTAGACATGATAATGTGCAGGGTTGATCGCTGACTTGGCTCTTAGCATCCAATTACATTTCGTCAAACGGTAACTTTTACGAGTTGATTTTGGTACTAAGAGACGACGTCCTTCACTGATGATGCCGAAAAAACGTCTAAAAAGGTACCAAATGAACGGACGGATGCTGGAAATTATCAACTATTCATGGAATTCGAATGGAGTCTTGAATATCAAAATCTGCCCTGAAACCTCCTGACAACTGTGGCTCTGTTCTGGAGTGATGATCTCGCCACGATCCTCACGACTCGTGGCCGATGCGACGGAAAGACGAGGTAGAAAACCATGCTCGAGTCTAGTTGAATTGAGGCAAGTTGAGCTGAGGTGAGATATCATTGAGAGACATTACATGTCGAAACTCGATTGCATTCTGATACAAACGCAACTATTCGTCCTTAATCAAAGTGATCCGACAAGATTTTCGCAACTTGGTCCTGTCGCCAGTAGACATGATAATGTGTAGGGTGGAACCGCTGACTTGGCACTTAGCATCCAATTACATTTCGTCAAACTGAGAAGCCAGTAACTTTGACGAGTTGATTTTGGTGCTAAGAGACGACGTCCTTCACTGATGATGCCGACGAAACGTCTAAAATGGTACCAAATGAACGGACGGATGCTGGATATTATCATGAATATTCGAAACATTGTCAATCTGGGCGAATTTATGCGTTTAAAGGGCTGAAATTGAAGGCAGTTTTAACAAGATGGTGGAACTTCAATTTTGATTGCGATATTTTTTTCTTGGAAAACGGTGGGTTGTCCTCGTTTTGGAAGCTTAATCGCATTTTCAGAGGAATCCGGTAGAGCGCATTGTGTTTGGGAGTCTTCTGTCATAATGGTCAATGCAAATATGTCAGAGCAACTGTCAGACGCTGCAAATTGTCATGACTGTCCGGTCTGAGGGCTCCGTACAGGCAACATTCAACGAGGTCGCCATGGCAACAGGACCAACTTGCGAAAACCATGTCGGATCATTTTAATTAGGGACGAATAGTTGCGTTCCTATCAGAATGCAATCGAGTTTTGACATGAGCTTGACTCGACTCAACTCGACTCGAACACGGTTTCGACCTGGCCTTTTCGTCTCATCGGCCACGAGTTTTGAAGATCGTGGCGATAGCATTGCTCCACGAAACAGCCACG